GACCAGCACCTTGCCGGTGACATATTTTACGACATTTACGTATTGGACGACCTATTACAAGGGTGGCGACACCGTGACGACCAGTCGCGAGGAGACGGTCAGCAACGTCGTCACACCTGGAGTGTCACCAACACCGACGGTGGAGCTGGGTGTCATCATGACGTACAGACCCACGTCGTCTTCAGGGGTAATCGTCGAGGAACCAGTAGTTGAGAAGAAAAGCAAGGTTACTGCTGATAACGAAGTGACCCCTTCTTTTCCGATCAACGAGAAATCCACGTCAGACCCCACCGTCATCGGTCTTCAGGAGAGTTCAACCGGTGTTCAGGATGAGGCCAAGGTGGAGGTTTCCACGGTTCTCCTGGAACCCACGACCTATTACACCACTTTTACGTACTTCACGACCTCGTACGTCGGTAATCAGACTATCTTGAACAGTAGGTTGGAGACTGTCACCAGCGTGGCACGTCCCAATGATGTTGGGAGCCAAGCAACAGGAAGGGCGATAGGTGGTCCCGTTGCTGGCCTCCAGGATTTCATCGGCGGTGATAAGAATCTCGTCGGCAAGACCTTGACCCCGACAAAGAAGGAGGAGGTTCCAAAGACTGGACTGATCTCTACGATCCGATCGAGCAAGATCAACGACGGTACCACCACGCACTTCATGACGGACGTGTATGGAACTTACATCGATGGGCTTTACGCCCAGGTTGTAGAAAGCTCGACCAAGCTGGAGACACCAACACCGGCTTCTGCGGCGACCCCAGTGCTGTCGACAGGTGTCTTATCTTTGAACAGAGGCAGTGTCATCGACGCGGATGAGGTCACCACGGTGTACTTCACTACCAAGCAGGTGGGAACGCTGATCGATGGACTCTACGCTAAGGTCATAGAGAGCACCTCCAGCACGAAAATTGACGAGGAGAAGAAGGCCACTTTGACGCCCAGCAAGGGTCACCGAATTGGTCTCGTCAGAGTGATCCAAGGACAGATCGAGGCCGATGGATCGACCACGGTCTATCAGTCCAAGGTGATCGGGACCAACATTGACGGAAGATACGCCCAGATTATAGAGAGCACGTCCAGCTTTCTCAGTGCCAACCCCAGCTCGACCATTATTACCCCAACCTCGACCTTACCTTCGATCCATGCCACTGGAATTCCAGACATTTCACCTTCGCCAGCGGTGATTCAGTCGTCTCTTTCCGAAGACCCCACCACCGAAAGTTCGGGTCAGGACGAGGAGGAGGATCACGGGGACGAAGAGGAAGAAGAAGGCGAGGAAGAGGACGGCGAGGACGGGCCGAGGTCGAAGAAGAAATCAAGGTTGACCTTCTCGTCCAGGAAGAGGACCTTCACTCCGGTGATTCGACCTTTTATTTCCCGTAATAGGCCGACCTTTAATCCTAAACGAAAGGGTGCTCAGGGAGCGACGACCATCACGAGGACGGATATCACTCCGACGATTACGGCGACCTTAGCTGGGAAGGGCAACAGGTTCGCCACGTCCAGAGGAAGGGTCAGTTCTCCGATCGGACCTTACTCCTCGACCTTATCGCCTTCGGGCTCGAGGAGGTTTTCCGGGAGGAGAACTTCACCTTCTGCGACTTCGTCCTACAGTTCTGGGTTCCCAGTTGGCAGCAGTCGAGGTCGGGCAACCTCGAGGATATCCTCGACCTCGGCGTACCCTGGAGGGCGTAGAGGTCCAAGCTCGATAAGAGGTTCCTCGGCTAGAGGAGGAACTCGCGGTTCCAGCTCGGCATATCCTGGAGCTACCTCGAGATATCGACCTGGGATAAAGCCGACCTCCACTCTTCTTAGAGGTCAACCCACTGCAAGGCACGAGGATCAGGAAGATAACGCCAATGAGTTCACGACTACAACCCTGGTCACCGAAGAAACTCCGTATACCGTCGAGGACGAGGTCGCTGGAGAAACGGTGACCGCTCCTCTGCAGACCACGACGGAGTCTTCGAGGAGGTCGACAAATCCGCTGTTGAGATTCCGCAGACCCTTGAATTTAAATAACGGTTCGTCGAGGACGACCACCTCTACGTCGAGACCTCCAACGACTCCGTCCTCGAGGAGGAATGGAAATTTGGGCAGACAGAGTCCTCCCACGATACCAAACAGAGGAAGTTCCAGAGGAGATCGAGGCAGGACGACTCCCCCGGTTTCTACGAGACCTCGGCAGAACCAGAACGGTTTGTTCCCTCCAAGAGGTTTACTGAGGCGACCCGAACCAACCGAAGAGCCCGCGGAAAACGAGGAGGAGTTTGAAGGAGAGGACGAGGAGAACTTCGAGGACGAACCTCTTGAAGAGATCGCGGACAATGATTACGAAGGTTCGGACACAGCCACGGCGAGGTCGGTTACGAGGACTAATCGTAGGTCAGGGAGGACCTCCGGAGGCCCGGTAGTGCCCATCAGGCCATTCAATAATTTCAGTAGGACAAGAAGAGTCCGTCGACAGGCGAGTCAGTTGAGGTCACTGACGAATAGATTCCGCAGGCCAACCACGTCGGCTTCCAGCGTGGCAAAATCTGACGAGAAAGCTGACTCCGATATGGCCTCCAGTAAAGAAGAGACCAAATCGGTTCCCAGCACGAAAACGACCTCGAGATACCCAGCGAGGACGCTGCCTTCAACGAGAACGTCTCCGACCTCAAAGTTACTAAACGGCGCGAATAAATCGGACAAATCGAGTGAGCAAGTGGATTCTTCCCCTGGGATTTCCAATTCGAGGCCGAGGTCGAAACCCACCTCGGGAAACAGAAGCCCGGCACCTCGAGTGAAGCCCTCGGCGACCTCGAATTCTGGGAGACAATTCACTCTTCGGGAAAAGGATAGCGGGTCCACGAGGCCTGGGTATAAAAGACCGAGCTCTTCGTCGAGATCGAGGTCGACTGGCAAGGACGGCACCAGGCCTCGACCAACTAGGCTGAGGACCAGCACTTCGAGGTCGCAGGAATCGAATTCAAATTCACGAAGGGTTCCCTCGAAGCCGAGGCCTAGGAGCGGGAACGGCCGCAGACCGTCGACTCGAGGACGAGGATCTCACGAAGACATCCGCGAGTCGACATTCGTGCAGCCCAACTTTGATGGTACCATCACCGTAACCCATTACGTCCCTACCGAGGTCACCATCCCAGTTGTGAATAATGGCGTCACCAGCCAACGTAACATCGTAACCGCCCAACCCAGAACCGAGGTCCTTGGTCCGGGTCAGTACAGCACCGTCGTTGGCGGAGATGGTCGACCTCTGGTCGTCATCGTCAGCGAGGTCACCGGTACTAACGTCCAAGGCCAAACCGAGATCACGCGGTTCCTTCTGCACGAAACATCCACGACCAAGGTGTCGCACACCTTGACCACCCTGGGAGGTCGCAGAGCCTCTCAGTCGGTGATCGTTCCGACGACGGTGTACTCCGTGGAGAACGTCGTTTCGACGATTCAGCCGTCTCTCCCCACCGGAAATTCCCCTCTGGCCAATATTCTGCTTTCCCAGCTGCTGCTCGGTCAGCTGGGAGTGGGTCAGCAGAACCCTCTTCTGAACGCTCCTCAAGGTACACCGACCACTAGGTACGATACCAGGACCACGTCCTACGTGACGACCATCACCAAGCACCAGAGCACCGTGATCCCCCTCACCTTCCGAGGGAAGGAAATCCTGACGACCCTGGTGGACTCGTCGACGGACGTCATCACGGCCACGGAGTTCATCACGGATACTGTAGTTGTAACCCCAACCGCAGCCATCCCGGCTGCCAACTTGAACTCATTGTTGCTCCTGCTTCAACAACCACAACCGCAGCCGCAGCTGCCGCCACTTCAACAATCCTTGAACCCCCTGGACCCCCTGTTCGCAGCGGCCCCCTCGCTGACGCAGAGCAACACCTTGCCGGGTGAGGTCGAAAGGAGGCACCAGCCCGCCGACTTCGACTACAAGCCCGAGAATTACGATGACTCCGTCGAGGAAGACGACACGACCACCGTGGAGAGGTCTCCCAAGACGAAAGGTCGGCCTTACGGGAACAAGTCCCACCACAGGAGGGAGGACTCATCGGCGTCGCCGACGTCGACCTCGACGGAGCCCAGCGTGGTGACCTTATACGTCTCTGGGAGGAGGCCCGGCGAGTTCAGCACCGTCTTGAGTACGGTGAAGAACACCGGGGAGGCCACGTCGACCTCGCGAAGAAGAAGGGACGCGGAGGTGGCGGTGCAGCCGTCGATACCTCCGTCCTTGCACGCCGGCGCCGAAGGCGTCGCCATTCTGACCAGCAGCGAAGAGCCCGTCAACGCGCACGCGCCGACGCAAAGTCTCGAGAGCGTAGTGGGTGACGTCGGACGGCACATATCCACGTCTGTTCACACCTAACCTCTCGTAAAGATCCCCTCGATCCCCCTTACCCCGAAAATTCGATTTTAAGTCCGCCCCCGCCCCTCTTCTTTCATTTCTTCTTTACGTTCTGTTTCTCTACCTCTCTTCGAACGTCGCTCTGATATCTATTCTGGTTTCTCATCCAATCTCCCTGCCAATGAGAGCCCCGAAGCTCGAGCCGACTCGCCCGACTTCGCCAACCCTCGGCAAACTCGATCGACGAAATTTGCCGAAACTCCTGAGGTCCGACCAGGGCCAGAGCTCCCTCGTCGGCCTCGACCTCACGGGTCGAGTCTTTGGCCATTAAGGTCGTCTCTGATGCGAGTCGATGTTCTCCACCTTGACTGCCCGTTCCCCTCGAGCCTTTTTCGCTCTTCGTGGTGTTCCGCCACCTGCATCGTCCTCGCTCTCGACCCCGACCTTACCTACTAACCGGAGCTGCCGACGCCGCACGCGCGTCCACACGACGGAACCGCTCTCGTGACGTTTGCTCTATGAGCTAGAAAAGTGTACAGAACCCCGTAACGATACAAAGCCCCTTGACACACGAGTACCCCTGGCACAGGGCTTTAATAGTTATTGCGTAAGAACACGACCTTGAATTCCCTCGTCCTAGGGAATGGTACGAAACGAGACAATCCCGAATTTCAGGTGGAAGGGAACGGACTTCATGGTCGCCGTTTTATGGCGATCGTCTGGACGTGGTCCCCAGGTTCGCCGGGGGATACGCAAAGCCATGGGATTCTGGCCAGAGAGAAAAGGACTACTACGGGTATCCCGAAGAGGAGGACGAAGTGCCCAGAAAGAGGGTGCGAATCCGGGTCCCGGTTGTCCGAAACACCCTGGGGAAGCAGCACAAGTTCACGGTTGTCAGGAGGAGACCTTTGGTGCCTTACACGAAGAGCTACTCTCCTCAGGAGAGTCAGACTCCCTCGCCACGAAGAGTGGTGGTGACCAGGGTGAGGACCCTAGGACCTGCGAGTGCCCTGCAGACGGTGGAGGCCCCAGACCTTGGGGGCCCCTCTGCGGCCGATGGACGGCACAAGGTAACGGTGACCAGAAGAAGAAAACTGGGACCCACCACTGTTGATTCCGCGTTTAATAAACCTAGAGTTACCAGGAAGAAGTTGGTCAACGTGAGACCGGTTATCCAGCCGTCGTCTACTTTGGCCGTCATCACTACCGGATTTTACACGGCTCCTGACGACGATGACGAAGATGATACCGTGGAGGAGGCGCCAGGAATTCCTGAACTCACCGATCCACCAACCGGTACACCCAGTTTGGAGGAAACGCCCAATTACATTGAGAATAAACCTGACATTGAGTACCAGGTGGGCACCACTCCGTCCGAGATGACGAGCGACCTCGCGGAACCCAGTAGCCACGAGGAGCCGGTCATCATCACCGATAATTTCTTTTTCCCACCGTCTGGCGATGACGAATACGAGGAAGAGTACGACCAGGAACTACCCGAAAGTACCACGGAACAGAAGATTATGGAAGAAATGGACGGGAGTTCTCCAAAGAGCGGTCAAGAACAACCTGGAGAGACCCTGGTGCCGGTGATAACGGAAAGGGATGAAGCTGACACTACTACAGAAAGGATTCTTCAGGATGGCGTGACTACTGAAAGGATTCTTCAGGCTGGCGTGACGACGGAAAGGATTCTTCAGGATGGCGTGACGACGGAAATGATTCTTCAGGCTGACGCAACGACGGAAAGGATTCTTCAGGATGGCGTGACGACGGAAAAGATTCTTCAGGCTGACGCGACGACGGAAAAGGCTCCCCGGGTGGACGCGACAACGGAAAGTGACGTGGATCTGGACACGACGATGAAGGATTCCGATGTATTTTTGACAACTACCTCGCTCGACGAGCCAACTACCGACTCCGAAGTTTTGGAGACAACGACAGAGGAGGAAGAAGCGAAAGAAGTGACCACCGAAAAGGAAGCGACTACCGCGAAGGAAGAAAAAGATGTTACGACAGAGACAACCGATTATCACGACAGGCCGTCAACGGCTGACTATGTTGAGAGACCCTTCACAATGGTTCCGGAAATAATCCCGGAGGAATCTGCCAAACCGGATGACGCTCCAAAGTCCACCCCTGAAGAACAACCCGAAGACGTTGTTTCGTCGACGGTTCCTCAGGAAGGGAGCTCGGAAATCCCGATCGCTGACGATTCGACGACTCCGAATGGGGTAGATGAGACAAGTATGGCGGATGTCTCAACCCCTGAAGGTATCGACGACTATGACCTCCCAAAAACTGAGCCACCTTCCGGCGTGACGTCCAAGGAGGACGACGCAGTCCTGTCCGTCATCCCCATCGAGTCCGTCGTCAGCGAAACGGACCGCCTCGTCAAACCTTCCACGACGTTCGAACCGACCGAGAGAAGGTCGGAACCAGCGATTACCTCGCATCCTGCGGTGACCATCTTCCCCGAGGACCTGGAGAACTCCGACATCCCGTCGGTTATTCCTCTGGGTGGTGACCCCACGTCGGGCATCAAACCCATGACCACTTCTTCATCTCAAGTGACGACCAAGATCGCGTCACCTACGCCGGAAGAGATCGAAGCCGGTCTTGCCGACGACCTGTACCTTTCTCTCTCGCGCCCTGACTTTCCCCAGATTCTGCCCTCGAAACCGATCGACGACGTCGACTCCCACCCCCCAATGTCGGTCCTCTCCACCCCCGAGCTGAGCACCAGCGTTTACTACACGGAGACCGTGGTGACGTCGACGAGACTCAGGACCTACACTTACGTAGTGACGAAACTTAACGGACCCGAAACCGAGGTGACCTCGTCCACCACCGTCAGACCTCGAGTGACGACACTGACGTTGACGGTCCCGGTCACCGTGACAGTCACTCCGACAGCGCAGTCGTCTCTCAACTCCGTTTCACCTGTGCTTTATCCAGAATCTGGCGACGGTGAGTATTCTTTTGTTCGAGGGGCTGTTCACTCAGGAAATTATGAATTTTGTATGCCCCAATTATGTGGAATTGCCAATAAAAAATCACTGGTACTCGTTGGAAATGACCAACACATTGGCTCAATTTTAAAGTCTTTTGTTGTAGAATCGCATTGTTGTTTATCATATGGAGTCAAAGGTAATCGATCCTCAAAGTAGGAAGTCTTTTTCACTGATTTCCGAGTGAAAGTCCCTCGCTTTTTACCTACCATCCAGCGCGAGTTCTGCTACGAGATCGGTCATGCAATTCTAACTTATGTATTCACGGTTTTTTTTATTTCTGTTCTTATTTTTATATCGCAGGACTGCGCGCTCGGTGCTTTCCTACCTAGATCGACTCGTTTATATTGCCTGTAAAAAATTATGATTTTATAATTGGTGATGGCAATCACGAGTCCGTCTGGGTGGATCGAAGTTAGGATAGTAGGGGATGGCTTTTACCGTCCACTGACTGTGATAAGCCCTGCTGACAAGGGAAACGCATTCCCACGCGGACCCTGACCGGATTTTTACGCAATTGGCGCGCAAAGCTGCGGACTTTTCTGTAATATAATTCATTTACTTGATTCAATGTGTATAGTCTTCGTCTTTGTCTCGATAAGCTTTTACTATACTGTCTGTCTTACCTCTGTCGTGAGTCCTGACGACGGGATCTGTATAGGGGAACAAGTCTAGTCGAACTCGCCAATGTTACCGATTCGATCAGGAAATCGATAACTATTGATTATCCTCTTGATAAGCCGAGTGTCCGGATAGTTGACGAGTTTGCCTGGAATTCGCTCTTCCTTGAGATTTCTTCCGAATTCTGTTTCTTCTGATAACCGATTACGTCTAAAACCTTGACCTTCCGTTTCCAAATTCTTCGTTCGCAGACTCTGCGACTCTGTAATCAGTGTACATAGTGTAAAGAATAATGTGTTACGTGTAAATACTCGGTAACCATTAACACACGTGAATTTTCAGAGATTCCCCGCGAATCGGCTCGATCTGTATTTCCCTTGTCTCTATAATTAATTCAACGTGGATAACTCTTAAATAGATAATTACTGCATTTACTTAGTTTTAATTAAATTGTATATTACGAGTGTAGGCACCACTCTTGTACACCGCACGTTCTACTGCGGTGTAAGATCGGTAAAGAGTACTTCAGGGGCTGACCTCGGTTACATGCTGAAAATTGAAATTTGACCTACTCGTTGAACATATCGCGTATTCAATAAAAGAGGAAAGGAGTATTTTATAAATCTTGTTGCTGGAAGCTCTGTAGGAAATCTGTAGGAAAAAATATCTCAGTAAGTGCCCCTTATAATATGCTACACGTCGTACCTGAGTGTCAGGAGTCGAAGCATCCTTCAGGGGCCCTGAAGAATGCATCAAACCGCAGCTTCGGTCAGCCCTCGAAAAAAAGCGTCAATCTCTAGCTTAATCTTACATAAAATATCATTTTACGCAAATTTTAACTAAAATCTGCCGCTGACAGAATCCGCAGTAAAGGATGAAGAGGAGGGCAGGAGGTTCAACCTGGCGACGAGGGTGATGTCGAATGGAGTCGAGGTGATCGTAGCGGGACCAACGCCGGCCTTGAGGTGGGAAAATTCAAATCCTCAGCCGACGTTGACCTTATCGGACACGGTGGTGATGTTGCTTCCTCAAGATAAGCCTAACGATTTCGTCACGAAAACGTGCATGACGACGTTTACATATCTTAACACGATTACCAGGGACGGTACCACGATAGTGTCCACGGACGAGCAGGTGAATTTCATGGGAACTGATTAATATGCACCATAGGATGTTATTAAAAGTCCTGGTACTTATCTAGGTGGTTGCCAATACCGCGACAGAAGAGAGACACAGGAAACCAGGATCGGAAACTGCAAGAGTCACTTTAGAAGCTTCGCCCACGTTGAGGACCGAAGTGTTCAAAACGACCTACACGTACCTCACCTTGAACACCGATCATCCTGACGCCGATAACGCTCTGGAGAGCAGTATGAAGGTTATCACCAATACCGTGACAGCTCCTCAGCATTATCTGGACATGGTCCTTGAACCGTCCGAATCCCCGGGACCGGAAACGAACGCTTATCTGAGCACCAGGATCTTGCAGAAGACCATAATGGAGGAAGGAAGGACCAGGATAGAAACGACCAGTGATACGGTTACACAGGTACGAATACGAGTTCCAATCGTCCATTTTCTTTAGGGATGATTTATTATTTACTTATAACAGATAAAGTAAAAAATGCGAGGTGAATATTCCGGGGTTTCAGTTAATAATAACGGAATCGGCTCCACCTCCACGGCCCACAAGTGTTACGACCACTTTGACTGCCTTGGATAATACCGAAGACTCCACAACGGACATCATGAAGGCGTACCACATAACCTATACGTACTTGAACACCTTCCTAGAAAACGGAAGTACCGTCGTACGCACCAACGTCGCAACATCCACCGACGTCGTGATGGAGAAAGTACCTATGAAGAAGACCGCCACGAAGACCGTCCCAGTGAACCAAACTCCCGAACCGATCCAGATATTCGCCACGAAGACGTACTTCACGACCTACACGTTCTTCACGACTCTTCAGCAGGTAAATCGATGAATTAGTCTTCGGCGAGCAGATTCGGTAAGTCTACCTTTTTTTCTCTCCAGGCCGGCGCAGATGGGAACACTTCGACGACGATCTCTTCAAGATTCCGAATAGTGGAGAACGTCGTTACCGAGTCGATTGCTCCGAGTTTGCTGGATGCTGGGTACATGAACGCATTGCTGACCACAGCTCACCATTCCGACTCGGTGAAGAACGTCGTGACCGGCTCGACAATCATCTTCTTTGACGAGAAGGACCAGATCGATCCGACCTCGACCTTGAACAGTCAGGATGTCGCGACTGCTTCGGTCGAGGTGGAGAACATCGAGAAGAGCCCTGCCGAGAATACTCACTCGGCTGCCCTGACCAATTCCACACCAACGATCAGCAGTTCCGATGCTCAAACTGGAGATCAAGCATCGAGCAACGAGGTACCGAAATTCTTGTTTCCTAAGGTCTTACCTTAGAGGTTCTTTGATAATTATTAACATTTTATTTACAGAGTGGAGACGCGACCGTGACCTCGTCGAACGAGTCCACCCAGAACAAGAAGCCATCCAGTTCTCAGAACGAGGGTGATCTTCAAGTGAGCAATCTGCTGAGTCTAGGGTCTTTGGGAATCAATGGTCTGTCGGCTCTGGGACCGGTGATCACCGCCATGGCTGGTCTGCTCCAGGGGAAGACGTCGGCATCTCGAAGAAACGATACGGTGACCAACACCGAGGCTCAGGAAGCTACGACTCCCAGATCGCCGATTTACATCCCGGTCGCGGAATTCGCTGATGGGGACATCGAGACTGCCGAGAGTCAAAATATGGGTAAAATGAACAAATGGTGGCATTGAATAAAAATTTATAAATGCGGCTGGTAAGCGAGTCTTTACAACTGATTGATCTTTTTTTTCTTTCCATTTCTAGCGGCTCACCTGGCGAACCTGAATCACAATTACCTCCCAGAGACGAGGCACAAAGTGGCAGCAAGCCTCGCCGATGGCATCCCGATTTCTCCCGGGGAAATCATCACTGCGAATAGTGACGTCATCATTGGAAAGCCTGGAAAAATGGGACCCAGACCTCCGCAAACCTTCCTGAAGGAAGGAGAACACGTCGGCATGAAACCGCCTCCTCCACCGGTTCCTAACATTCCAGTCCACCCTGTCCTGGAGGTCCTTCATGACGACCAAGAGGATTCTCAGGCTCAGCCGACTACTCAAGTCCACAAGGGACCACACATCCAAATATTACCTGCCCATCAAGTTTATGAGGAGCATGTGAAAATTCCAGCGACGATTCCACTTCCTAAGCGTCCTCAAAAACTACATCCCATCCATTCTGCGCCGCCTAAAAGGGCAGGGTCCAAACACGACATTTTAGAGAACGATCCGCTTTTGAAACCACCTGGGAGACCCAATGTGGAGCAGTATGCAAACCCTAACGTGAACATCAACGAACCTGAATGGAGTCCTGAAAAATACAGGAGACCTTGGAGCGCCAAGGACCCCCTGACACCTCTTGAATCTTGGTTGGAAAATAAACCCAAAGTCCCTTCGAGACCTGACGAGGTATATTAAATCCACGGAATTCTGTATTTTGCTTTAAAGTATTAACGGCAGAAGTTAATTAATTGTTTGTTATTTAAGACCCCAGCAGATTCATCGGTGAAAGTGAAACCTTGGCAATCTAACAAGGAGCCGAATCGTCCCAGCTGGGCCCAGAAGGACCCTCTGCTTCCGGACACTATGATCGAGACTTCCGAGGCTAAACCTCAGCCTGATGAACCAATCGTTCATCAAGTACCTCACGTGATCGATCGATCAACTGGCCAACCACTGTTGGTGAACATCCAGCCGAGTCAAGTGGCGAATGTAGTCATTCCTCAGGGTGGTACCCAAGCTTTGATCTTCGGCGACACCAACGAGCCGCACATCAGCGGACACTATTTCGACGATCCGTCTCCATATCCGGAATCTGAAGTCGGTCCAGGGTTCATACGCGTAGAGAAGGTGGCTAAAACTGGAATACTGATATTAGATGACAATTTGGCAAGAATTAAAATTAATAACGTGATCATATCTTCTGCTAGGTCGAAGACGCATCGCAGTACTCTGGTGAGAAGGACCCAGCAGAGTTCCTGGTGCCTCCATCGCCACCGATCAACTTCAGACCTCTTCCAGAAAAGCCGGGTTCATCTCGGCCGAACACCATTCCCTTGAGTCCTTCCCAGAGCCACTTTGACCATTTTCGACCCCAGGACAAGGTTGAGCTTTTAGCGACCAGACCTGACAGGAAACCAGAGGTCCACCTGATCCAACGTCCAGACGGCGCGGATGCAACCAGTGGTCAAGGACATGTTCACACAGAAATTCTGGTGCACCATCGACCGGAAACCGTGAACATCCGTCCACAGCCTCCGGCAAGACCTTCCATCTTGTCCCATGTCCATCCACCTAGAAGGGACTACCTTAAACCTCAAAGACCGGGCGATACTCTGCCACCTAGAAGAACCGAGATGCACGTTCCCACCGAAGTTCCTCATCAGTACGTCTTCCTTGGAAAGCCAGCAGACTCCGGCAACGAGGTGACGTTTAACACCAGCTGGAAAACTGACAAGAAACCACCTCGAATCGCACCAGGCGTTCGTCCAAGACCCTCCGCCAGACCTCGACCTCCCTTCAGAACCACATCCGGGCCCCATAGTCACTTGATTTACATGGAAAGACCTGGCCACCCAGTTCGGAAACCTCAGTACACGGTACCTCAGAGACCCAAACCTCAGGGGAACTACATGACAACGATATGGTCGGCGCCAAATCCACAACCTTCTCAGGAACCTCCAAAGAAGCACTTACCAAATATTCCCCAGGGTAACGCTGCGCAAGAGCAATATGGCCATCGACCCCAGGTACCACTTTACAACCTGTACACATTTTTCTATAATATACCGAACCGTGAATTTATCAAATAACTTGTCTCCTTTGATCAGGTTGATCTCCAGGACAGACCTCCGAACTTCTACCGAGGGAAGCCAAAGCCCCAGGCTGCGATTAACGTTTCTGAAAACGACAGAAACGAGGAGCACGTGCCGACTGGAGCTGTAGAGTACCACAATCCTTCCACCGATCCAAAGGTGAAACCTGAGGATACCCAGTACTACCCTCAACTCCCCACCATTAAGCCCGAGGTCCAGAGTTTCGGGCAACTTCTTCCGCACCCGGACAGAGATGAAGCCTGGACCTCCAACACTCAGACAGAGCAGCCCTTAATGGACTCCGAAGCTGGTGAATCAGAGAACCTGAAAGTGCACAACCCTCTTCAGAATCAGGGCGGAAAAGATCATGAACAGGATGTAAATAGTGCACCAACTTCGCAAATGGAGAACAACATGACCCATTCGACGAAGAACCCCTACGGCGCAGTGGGTTCGTTGAACACGGTGGTGGGAAAACCTTTGAACATCGACCAGGGTATTACTTATGGCCAGAAGGACCAAACTTCGATGATCCTCAGCCAAGGTGTACCCTTTGGGCATAAAAAGGACGACACTGCACAAAATGCGGCATCTGATTACCAAGGTGTAAGACCGTACGAGACACCAATTGTGCAAGGCAAACCGTTTGGTGTTTACAATGACCACGTGGATCCAGGAAGACCTTACGGTTATGGTCAGAAAATTGGGAGACCCGATTATGAAATAGTGCAGGGGGTTCCTTTCGGTTTCCACGTGAAACAGAACCCACCACAGGATGATACGATAGACCTGAAACCACCTGCTATCAGCCCCCTGTTTGGGCCAGAACCTGAGAGACCGAAACAGAGACCTTATCATAGACCTCACGGAATAGGCAGACCTGACACCAGGGTTCCTTTGTACTCCAGACCGGAGATCGTTACGAAACCTCCTAGAAAGTTTGAAGTGACTCGTCCAGACCAACACCGACCAACGGAACATCCTCAGGTAGGGTCAGGTATTTATGGTACCACGGTAAACCATTTAGGTGGTTTCACAGAAAGACCCGGAGAAGGTCAGCTAGGTGAGGAGCAAACGGTCCATGAGCATCCCGACTGGAGCATTAGGATCCCAGAAAACGAGAAAATTAGGCCATACCAAGATCAGTCTTACGAACTTGGGAATCACCACGACTATTCCCGAAATCAGACCAGTTCACATCCCAATCGCGGGTCCTTTTATACCGACTTCGGTAATCCTAAGCCTGGAGCTGATATGAATCGTCCCATGGTTCGACCAGACCATGGCATCGCGACGCAGGTTCATCCGGAGTATCCACATATTCTGACCAAGCCGAAACCCCAGGTTCCAGGGCCGATTACAATTTCATCGAGGCCAGGTAAACCTCATGGACAGCCTGTGGAGTCCAACAGACGCCCGAATATCCAGTTCTCTCTGCCTGTGGAAGCAACAGGAGATGAAGAGGACAGCAAAACACAAACAGAAAGACCGCCTAGTATGCTGGTCACCAAAGGAACTCAGAAACCTAAATACAAGAACGAGCCTCAGGACACCTATCAGACCAGCATTGCGAGCCAAGATCAGGTGGACGAAGAGACCTCTGATATCAGGAAGACTGAGAGCAACCATCAACTTGGTCCTGATCAGAGCGAGGCAATTAGCACTCAGAAACCGAAGGTGCCATCTCAGAACATGATGCCACCACCTGTGAGGCCCGTTCCGAAGGATCCTTCCAAAAAGTCCGATGAACAGGAAGGGCTGAAGCCTCCACCCCTGCCTTCGGATGTCGTAGGACTCTCGCCACCTCCGGTCGCCATCACGACAACGAATAGACCGAAAGATGATTTCCCATTTGCCATTGCAAATGAATCGGGACTGCGACCTCCTCCAAAGTACATCCCGCTAGAAGAGTCCATTGCCATCGCGACGCCACCTCCACCAGGCATCAATATGGTCCCACCAAGTCCAAGGCCGACCATCGTGAAACCCTTCCTGGTTGAAATATTGTCTCAGGTATTGTATACTTGAACTTTGTAGTCGAATACAAAGAATAGTGTGTTAGAAGTATACTAGGGAATTGTGTTTCACTTGAAGGACATGGTGCCACCACCTCCGGTACCGGAGACCTCAAGGCCGCCTCAGATCGCAACCGTGAGACCAGCAGTAGCGGTCTCTGGTTCCATCCAAATCGCGACTGCTGTGGCCACCTCGCACATACCAGTGGTCCAGGACATGGAATCCAAGATTCCGATCATCCACGGTACCGTTGATCTTCCAATGGTCATTGATGTCCCCAGCATCCTTAGACCTGTGGAGACAAGGAAACCAGAGCACGTCAGCATCTACACCGTGCGACCGTTTGAAACAAGGCAGGTGTCCAGGTATGAACATGTTCCTCGTTTCAAATTTGATTGTTCCATGCTGAAGAATGATTAATGTTAAAATGTCCGTTCGCAGAGTGTCCGTTCAGCCAACTGCGATCCTGACGACAAACTTGATCATGCCAACGAGGTTGCGACCGCTTCAAACGGACCACGTCGAGCCTAGCAGATCAGTCCCATCGATTTCTTCCCATAACGGGGACCCGACTAAATTACCTTCTCCAGAGGTGGTCAGGAAACCGACGAAGAGGCCTGATCGTCCAGTCTTCATCGAGTCTAGCCAAGAGATTACGGTCACGCCTTCTCGAGTAGAGCCTACCGAGTCACTGACGCACATAGTAGACACCGTCAAAACGAAGGACCAGAAGATGACCCTGAAAACGGACGAGACTACCAAGGTCCACCGACAGCAGGTCACGGAGTTCTCGACGAGCCCTACAAAATTAGATCAGGCAGAAGACACCCCGACGATAGTGACGAGAGTGGACAGCTCCATATCGAAGGTGACCAACACCTTGAAGCCGGAGAGAAAGGATTCCGTCTTGCCCAGCATCCAGGTGGACAAGGACATCGCAGGACCCATCATCTCGAACACCTCGAAGAATGCCTCCGCGACAACCCTGACGACGATGCCGAAGGTAGACAGTTATGATGCAGAATTTTAGGAATTATTCCATCCTTGTTGATAGTTCAGGTGAGCTACAGATACTTGACGAATCTTCGCAGGTTACGAGGATGTCGACTGTAACCAGAACGGAGACGTCCATCCTTGGGTCGCCTCCGACGACGAGAACTCTCCTGCTGACCCATACCTACACCACGACGACAGTGGAGATAATAACCGAAACTTTGCGTCCTACCAGCGTTGTATCAACGGTGACCTCGACGATCGTGACTTCCGTAACGAGGGTTCCACCAAGCTATGAGAACACGGTCGATAACGACTCCATCTTCGTTGTGATGAGCGATCAGAAGCCTCCAGAACCTGGCGCCGAAGAGGTACCTAGGAGTCGTCTCCATGTTCCAGGATTCTTTTAATATAAGTTTGAGGATCGAGATGTAATCGCTATCGTTTGAAATATTAGGTCGAGGCAGAGTACGGGGAAGAAGAGGCCTCCAGAGACGAGCAGGACCCAGGTGGCAACGAGGTGCACAGAGTGCTCGCAGGTGGAATCCTGGGGGCTCCCGTGGTTCCTCTTCAGCCGGTGATCAACCATTGCGTGCCAGAGTGTCGAGCATCGAAGTCGGAAGTATGTGCCGAAGTTGGATCAGAGATGAGATGCGTGTGTCGTCCAGGATTCGCGAGGATGTTCCCGGACCGTCCCTGCAAACGTAGGTTTAAGGATCGGAATAGCTGCCCCTTCCTAGATCCTGAAGGAACAGTTCTCGATGACGTCTCTCCAACTTTTGTTTCTCCTTCAGCAACCTACACGTACACCCTACGAGTGGGTCTGGAGAGGATTGCAAGGGATCCGATCGCCAACGAGATTTCCTTGAACGATTCCACGTCTGCAGCGTACAAGCGTCTGACAGGACCCGTCAAGGATGCTCTGGACAGGACCCTGATGCAAAGTGATCTAAGGGACCTGTACAGAGGATTAAACATCGCTGGATTCAATCCGAGCCCTGCCACTGTCGATTTCCACCTTCAGCTCAGCGAAAACGCCAATGAGACCAGACTGAAGGAGGTTCTTCGGAAATATCTGGTCAGCAGCAACTTCAGTCTTGGTGGCACCGAGGTCTTTGCCTCGAAAGACCTCGACCTGGTGAGTCCAATAATTAAGGGGTTCAATTAAATGTAACTAGGAAGGTCAGACGAATAATCATCCCAGACGGCACAAATGATGCAAATATGTTTTGAAACTGTCTCGGGAACTGGTGGAATGCTTCGTTTGGTAGTTCAAAGGATCAATTGACTTGCTCCCCTAAAAAATCCCGGATAACGGAACACCATTTTGGAACATCATTTTCGAAGATGCTGAGATTTGAAGTAAATAAAATTCTACCTCTTTCGAAATCTAAGGAGCAATCTTTCTTCCAGATCGATGCCCGGGATTTCGACGAGTGCTCCACCGAGGAGGGGGGACCTCACCACGACTGCTCTCCAAATGCAGCTTGCTTCAACATCCGAGGGTCTTATCAATGTTCCTGCAGGGAAGGTTGGGCAGACCTCTCGGAGAACCCGGCATATCCTGGCAGGGTCTGCTCGCAAGCTCCTCTAGGATGCGCCGGATGCAACAACAAGGGCCACTGTGTCACCAACACAAATGGCCAAGAGGTCTGCGAGTGTTTCCCCTGGCACAGTGGTCAGCGCTGCCAGGTGAACCTGAAAGGTGAGTACCCAATTAAAAACGATTAAACAAAGATATCCTAACCTTGTTGGATCTTTTCAGTGTTGCTGATAGCTCTGGTGACCACGGGAGCGATCCTGCTGAGTCTGCTGATGGTGTGCGTGGGTATGGCCTGCTTCCGTCGACCTGGAAGAAGGTCAGGAGACAGGCGAGCGATGATCCCGGGGACAGGTGGGGACACCAGCAGCGAGGGCAGCGTGACGGACCTGGCGATTCCACACCACGTTCCGCACGTTCTGCCGCCACCGCCGCAGATGATCGCCCCGGCGCCGCCCCTGAAGAGGCCCGTGAGGAAGATCAGCGGCAAGCCCAGACACCCAGCCAGGAAACCCAGCGCACCCACGCCCAGTGAGTCTACTCTCGAATTCGATCCTCGTTGTCGCCGGGGTATATCGCCCCTAAGATGACATGCTAATGACGTCCTAATGGCGTTTCAGTTCCCATGAACGACGAGCAGCGGGACCGATCGTTGACCGTGATGATCCCGCGCGCCAAGTATCGCTCGGCCCCGCAATCGCCGCAGAACTACAAGCCGGTAATGAGCACCTTCGCGGCGGACGAGCATAAGTTGATCAGCTACTTGGAAAGCGGTTCTCATCCCCGGAACAGGAGGGCCAGCGTGGCCAGCATCAAGGACTACAAGGAGCCGGATCTCCAAGTCGTCAGGACTCCTGTCGCGCCCAGCGGAGCGCTCGTCAGCGCCGGCTTCCAGGTAAGACCAGACGTCTCCTCGACAGCTTAATTATCTGGAAAATGAGAAACCAGGTAATCGAAACCGTCCGCCTCTGAGATCATTTCCTGCGGGAAGGATTCATGGACTCATTTAAGACCCTGATTAAGGGGGAATAAAAACAGCGGCCGAAGTGGACGGTCGGGAGTTGTGATCTCACTGGGCGAGTCCGTCATAACTGCACAGCAGGGGTACGAGGATGTATCAAGTGGTACCGAGGCTGTTAGTACGTTCATACGGGTTATCAATCTCGGGTAGGTGAGATAATGCGAAGGGAAATGCGGCCGGGTATCGTGACTGGAACGAATGGGCATGCGCAGTCGGCGAGTTGCCTTCTCGTTGCCGTGCAAATATGGGATGATCCTTCTCTTTAGGGACGTATTTCTAGAAATTAAAATTCTATATAATAGTTCTGGTCAGAAATATGTGTATCCAAATGGTAAAAACCTTGCGTTTAGGTGTCCGCAACCGTGGTAAGAACTGCCGATGCGGAGTCGACGCTGGCTCGTTCCTGTGGCGAAACCACGGTGGAGCCCTCGACGAAGATCCTGAGGAGCGGCGACCTTTCCGGCGATTTGGGCTCCACTTTGGCACGATCCTGCGGCGAGACCACCATTCAGACCCCCACGAAAATCCTGCGCCTGGACCTCGCCGAGGACGGTTCCACTCTGGCGAGGTCCTGCGGGGAAACGACCATCCAACCACCCACCAAAGTGGCCGTCACCGGCAGGAGCAGCCTCAAGGATTCCAGGGACAACAGGGACAACAGGGACAATGCCAGCGATGGACACACCATGGCCGAAAGGGATCTGGGCAGCACCCTGCGACTTCCGGCCCAGCATCCACCGCTTTACAACCCCGACAGGGTAACTTCTTTCAGTCCATCCCCACGCTTTTGCACACTCCCGAGCACTCATTCACTCAGGGCCATTCGAGCCGTATGAAGTGATAAATTTCCTCGGCTTATTATACGTTGGTCCTATTCGCAAAGACCATTGCACCCTGGCTGGTCCCCAGAGCATGGCCATGGTGGATGCAGCTGGTAACGATAGACTCCTCGGCAAAATTGCTTCATCGGATGTTGTGTATAATTATTTCAAAACCCCTATTCCGTTAATTTCATAAATAGTGTATATGCAAATTTCTACCTCCCTCAGACCAGCGACAGGGAATCGAACTTCGACTCGCTGTAGGCGACCTGAAGAATCCTCAAGGTGTTCTACCGAGGTCTCCCCGGAAGTCCAAGAGCCAGCGGGCGCTGGAAGCCTTCTGGAGAACCGGAACCCGTGCAGGAGCAACCCTCTCGAACGAGTACGAAAATTCGTCGTTGCCAAATACTACTCGCAGAGTCGTGGGGGAGGATCTTGAGGTCGATCGACGAGGTCTCGCCCTTTGCGAGGCGCTCTTCGGCTTGCAATCGGGATCCTTCTATCCGACCGCTTCGCGGATGCATCTCGCGCGGTCCCAGACTCCGCTGGACCGGTGGAGGTGCCCGAATGCGTGGGAAATTAATTTATTTATACCTTCGAATCGACTCGAGTCCGACTTGCGAGACTCGAGAGCGCATCGGACTAGCGACTTAATAAACGGAGTGCGTGGAAAGGGCGTCATAGATACGCGTGGAGGATGCGTCGTTAATACGTGGGTCACTAATTTCGTGCCAAACTGCAACCAATGAGAGCAAACCTTCGCCAACGGGAGAAGGTTCCCGGGACCGTCTTCAGGGACCCGATTCTCGAGTTCGTACGGATTTCTTTCCTATACGAATTGATTCGCATGAAAAATTTGGCATTGTTGCGAAGTCGCGTAATGCCGGTCGACACTTCAAAGTCGTATACGGAATTGTCAATTTCGCGTGCTAAAGTTGATCGTATCGACTCGAAAAACGGGATCCAGGGTCCTTGGGAGATCCGCGATCGCCGGAAACGCACTCCGCGAGAGCGATGCAACGTACGGTGCACTAATTTCTACAGTACTATACATATATATACCTGTTTTTTTTTTTTTTATTAATGAAAAGGCAAGTGTAATACTATCATTGTTGTTGTTTGTTCGTTTAGTCTATTCCGTACCGGCCAAGTCATGTTGCCCGGCTTCGTCGCAAAATGCGTCGAGCATCGGGGTCCTTCCCTAAGGGGAGTCGGACTTCGGGCCCCGAGAAGTCATTTCGAAAATCATTTTGATAATCATTTCGATAGCCTTTCGGAGGGCCCACTCGATCGGGGAAGAAATGGGCGAAAATGAGGAAATTTGGGACGGAGCCGCGCAACGTCGCGAAAACCAGGCTCGAGGGAGGGCGGGACGCGTTACGAGTTTAAGTCCACTGACTGTAACTTAACTGACTCTTTCTAAGCGAAGCCTTAACAAAGGAGAGGTGTTCCCTTAACGAGGACTTTTTCCCTCCTTACCCTCCGAGGTCGAGCCGCGACAGGACCCTTCGGGAACTTTTCTTTTTTTTTTCCGGGAGGGACTTCCCGAAGACGCCTCCCTTCCGGTTTGGGAGAACGGAAGGAGAGGCTCTTCGGAAATGGACGAGGGGTCTCGTCGCCAGACTCGTAATCCTCGAAGTTAATACTTACGTCTCATCTATTAACTTGTCCTTTACGTCCAAAAATCTCTTTTGGCGGTCACTTTATACATAATACACGCTCTAAGCGCATCGCATTTGTACATACTTGCCTCCTCTAAGACCTCCTCTGCGTAATATTATTGTATTTTTGTATACTCTGCGCTATGTATACTTGTAATGTACTTTTAATAACAATTAATAATACTTTAGTCGTGTTATAGAAGCTGGACCTGCTCACTCCCCGCGAATCCTAGCTTAAAACAAAGTGTACTCGACAACAACCTCATGGGTACAAATTTTAAACAGTCCAAATTTCATTCGTCTCTCTCTCGCAGAGAGGAAGATTTTCTCCGGCAGGCCAGTAAATTTCCAAAATTCACGCTGCCCCTCGGGTGGCAAAAACGCGGGCCGTAATAAAGAAGCGGGAAGAAAGGAGATTGAAGAAAAAAAAAAAGGAAAACCGACCGAGATGAAGGAAACAAGCTGCGAGTTCTTAACCTCCGCTAGGAGCGGCTCTTTTGAGTGCGTGCGGTAGAAAAAACGAGCGGGAGAGAGAGAAACCGGCCGGTGGACATGTATCGTTTGAGAGAAGAAAAAGACTGCCCCCCCTGCCCCCTCGGAGGCGGATTATTCGGCTGGGGGTCGGCGAGAGGAGAGAAGAGGAGGGCCGGGAAGGGGTTCGGAAGCGAGGGAACAGGAGTGAGGACAACTTGATCCTTGCGCGAACAAAAAGCGAAGACGTGCAGCGGTCCTCGGGGCCCGATTCGCCACGTTGCGGTGCTGGCCGCGCATGCGCGAGCGCGAGTGCACGCCCGGACCGATTCGCGTGGGGTCCGACGCGTCGGGCCCAAGGTGGGCGACTCGGGAAGCATTTCGCGACTTCACGTGGGGTGAAATTCTAGAACCCCTTTCTTTTAACAACCACCCCTTAAAATCGCGTTTCGGCATAAAAGAGTTAAAACCACGAATAACCAGTTATATATGTTTTATTATTATATATGAGTTATATATATATATAACTCGTACGCATATATATACATATATGTATATGTGTATCATGTATATGTATATGTATATCATGGGATAAGTCCCATTCTTACTTGCCACTTCATCCCTTCCGATTTTGAGCGACGTCGTATGTGAGCAAAATGGCGACACCCTCTATAGGTGACGGAGGCGCGTCGAGTAAGCATTTGTTTACACAACACGCACCTCCACCTCGTGGTGCCTAACCTCATTAAGCGTTTAACCGCGCAGGTGCACAGGGGGAGTGGGGGCGCGGAGCTCGTATTCCAGCGCCGGGAGGGGTGAGGTGCCGAGAGGGACGGAGGGGTGGAAAGTCGGGCGAGCGAAGTGAGTCGTCAAGTGCACGGCGTGCCGAGTCGACCGAGGCAAGAAATCAGAAATTTCCTCCTTCTCCTCCCCTCCCACCAGTGCGGCCTCCCCTTACGCGCTTGCGCCGTGGAGGGAGAGGCGAGAGGGGTGCGTTCCCACGCAACGCGTCACCCCCTCCCGACTCGCGGGACCTACTCCCTCCACGGGCGCCGGACCCCCCGCGTCTGGGCCTGCCGGGGGCGCTTCCCCCACTACTCGCGCCGCGGCTGGCCCCGCCCCTTGGGCCCACTCCAGGGTGGGGAGCAGAGCGAGTGGAGGGGGCGCAGAAGCGGGGAAGCGGCCCATCGAGGAGGAACGGGAAGAGGCTGGGGCCGCCTGGCCATGAAATTAAAACATGATGAGGGGCCTAGATTGAGACGCGAGAGGGAGAGAGAGACGGCGAGAGGGCCCCGAGGAGGCCTGCCTGCGTCCAGGGACGCACCTATCGCTCCTGATTTTAGGCTCATCTCGAAGACCGAATCAAGGGCTCTAAGACACTTCATATTTTGATAACGACATCCATAGAATTATAATTGAATATAGAGGAGGGAAAGAAACGTCGGGACTATAATATCGATGTAACAGGTCGTCGCGTAACATTTCTGAATGTTTCATTTTTTTTTTTTTTAGGTATATGTTTCTTATAAATCCAAATTCGGAGGAAAAAATTTCGTTGAGTTTCAGATCATGTCGGAGTAGGATCGGGGAAGGAGTGCAACGTTTGAAGGAAGCAAATTTCGACTTCTCCGAAACTTTGTGGGCATTTTTTTTCTACCATCAAGGACCCCAAGGGGCCCGGCGATGTATCAAGCGAGAAGAGTCACTTTTCCGGGACGCGGCGAAATTCAAAAGCGGTCACGAGGCGAGTTTGAAAAGAGGAGTGCCCTTTCTTGGAAAGGGCCCTGCCTTCCTTTTGCGCCGATGTCGCGACCAGGGGGTGTAACGTCGCGCACACTCGGGGTGGACATTCGGGCCATGCGCAAGGACGATTTCCAGAAGAACCCCTGGAGTTTTGGGTGCCTCGGGGCAGCGCTTTTCACTGAGAAAAAAGGCAGCTCGAGTTCCTCGGCATGTCCTCGGGGTGACCGGGAAAGGACCTCTGACGAGCTAATTCCAATAAAAGACCTGACACCATTGGGGTCCAGGCGGTTCACAATGAGGAACAAGGATGCTGGCAAGGGAATTCGAGTAAGAAGCTTTTAGGAATTCCTTTTTCAAAAAGTTTACTTATAAAAAAACTACCTCAAGCCGAGCGGTATTCGTTCTGATAAAAATCGATGGAAATTTGCGTACATTTTCGCACACCTCATAACTGAAGTATCAGATAGGAAAAACGTCAAATGGAATACATTTCAAATTAGAAAACGTATAAATACCCGTAACATCGTATATTTACTGTATTAGGGTAATTTTGCTTGAATTAAATTTTTTAATTTTTCTCAGATGCTGAGCGTGGTGTTTTGGAGACAATTTTACTGCACTTTATTGTGGTTTCGAAATAACCAATGATTGAGTACGCACATTTACATGGGCATTTTATCAGTGCGTCCACCCTTGGTACTCTCGTTACACTTTTCATAAAATTCATTGAAAAAAGTCCCTTTGTATAAATTATGCGAATCGGAAAATCGAAGAACCGACGAAGAACCATGGAAAAGTGGAAGGCGATTCGGGAGCGGTGGCAATCCCTGGTGAAGGACCCGGCCGCTGATCCGAGATGATACCCGACAGGACCCTGACGATCCGTCCGTCCACTCGTTCGATCTCTCCATAATGCGGATGCACCCAGCGTGAGCGAGTCCGCTTTATGCACCTATCACGTGCCTCGGGATAAATTGCCCAGAAATTTCTAAGGTCGGCTCCGCTTTGTGGGATTAGCCCCGTACGCCCGGATTGCCGAGCACAAATCACGAGCGGTACCAGTTACCAGTCCACTGGTTCACCGGTTTACCGGTGTACCGGTTGTCCAGCTGGTTACCGTCGAGCTGGAAAGGACCCCAAGGATGACATCCCTCGAATATCGAAGGTGAGCCCTTTGCATACATTTGTGTGGACAATTCAACGATTTACCCGATTTTCAGGCTCCCAGTCTGCCAAAAAGTCCACCTAGATGGGTAACCAGCAATTTCCTGGGGCAGAGCGATTAACGCGTTTTTATGGTTGTTGTGGTGTCCAGGCCAACGGAGGTGTAACGCGTCAGTGGTCCGGATGGGGCCCAAAATATTTCTAGTAGCAGCGAGAAAAATCACG